CCTCAAAAGTTTGACTAGATTCCTTATCAAAAGTAGTATTAGATTCCCCACCCACATCATTTAGATATCCAATTTCAGGGGGGCCACAACAGTTTCTTCAACTAAATGAGTCACATAAAGTTCAACAATATCTCCATTTTTTAATTTATGTACAATACCCATAATATCCCTATCACTTTTAACTTCAATAACACGTCGACATTTAGGTGGTTTAATATAAACAACACAAGCAGAACAGTTATAGCCAATTTCTTTAACTATATCAACAAATTCAAAGTAGGACAATTTATCAACATCTACATCAAAACAATCAGTGACAATACCTCCTTCATACTTAATACGAGGTTTTTGTTGTAGTTTTCCACCATGGTGAAACCTTAAGGTAACGTACACATCCATCGTCAAACTGAAAAGATAAAAAAAAAAACTAAGCTTTACGAAAACCCTAAACTCGGTCAAATATTACAATCATCTAAACGAAGATTTCTAACCTGGTAACTTTGTTCTTCACGTAAATCCTTTGTTTCTTCACAAAAATCCTTTGTTTCTTCACGAAAATCCTTTGTTTCTTCACGAAAATCCTAAACTCAGCAAATCCTTCATGCTAATGACTTGTTATTCTTCAGATTAGGTCTTTTGATTTGAGAGAGATTTAGGGATATTTGTTTTAAAATGGGTTGGGTTGTATTTTGGGAACGGGTGGGTTATATAAAACGGGTAAGATATTTTTAAAACCCTTTGCGACGTGGACCAATGAAAACGCGCGTGTGTAACAATGCCCAGCCTTCAACTGGGCTGATGTTCGGAGGGTTGAAAATAATTCACATAAAAGATGTTAAGGGGGGTATATAAACACCCGTGTAGTTTAAGTACTAAAGTAAGTTTTCGTGCCAAGTTCAGGGGGGTTTTTATGTATTTTCCCTTTTTTAACACTGAAAGAAATTATTTATCAAATGAGTTTAAATTATATACACGTTGAATACGAAAAAATAATTTTAAAAAATAAGTTACACCATAAAGTTAGCAACTTAGCACGAATCATGATACGTAATTATGTACTAAGACCAGATATCAGTTGTTCAATATTTTATATTCATCATATCAAAGAAGTTTGACTTTCCTGCTGTTTTATTTAAATAATATTATCACAGTGCAAAATTGGGGGAAAAAAATATGGGCAAAAAAAAAAAGATATTGTTTTAGGAGATTGCAATGTGATGTGTGCCCTGCTCATGTATTTATTCCATTCTTTTAAAAATAATTAATAATTGATGTTGTGGTGATATAATTAGTTTGAGAAAATATGGTTCGTTTCAATACGTTTAAGTATTAATTTGTCCATTATTAATCTAGTTTATCTTGATTTGTTAGCTCGTTTAAGAATTTGAAATAATTTGAGTTAAGTATGTAACCTAAATTGACTAATGATAAATCTTGTAAAAAAGTTCAACTTAAAAATATATTTTCATTTGATATATCATGTAAAGCTATAATAAAGAACAATTTATTTACTTAACTTTTCTCTAAGTATATAAAACAAATTAAGAAAAAAAAATTAAGAGTTGAACGACTTGGGATGTGATTCATATTTTTAACCCATATTTAATAAAGTTTAACGATATTTATTTTGATCCGTCTAAATTTAGCTCAATTACATTGCGTCGATATTATTTGTTGATAAAGATTGGAATCTTTGACATTGCTAGAACAGTTCCAAATGGTGCTGTTTGACTAAATAAATAAAATAGGAGTTTTATTATTATTATATATATAGTATATGGCAATCCAAATTTGACCATTTATTCCAAAGTGAGAAAAAAAATTGTTTAAACTTTTTTGGCTAGTATTTAAATACTGTTTTCCTAATGTATCTATATATAGTAACAAAATACTAAGACGAAAAATTCATTAGTGTGAGATTTTAATTTTGCATTTAAAAAAAATAAAAAACTAAAGATGTCTAGTTTTTCAAGATTGCTATCAACAATCTCCAAGAAAGTTGTGAAACCTTTTTCTCCCACTCCATCAACTCAAAAAATTCACAAATTTTCACTTCTTGATCAATGTATGGGTAATTTTTATATGCCCCTTGTTCTATTTTACCCAAAACATCAACTAGAACAAGGTCCAAAACAACTCTCTAAACTTCTAGAAAACTCATTTTCAAAAGCATTGACTTATCATCAACCATGGGTTGGAAGTTTGAGAGATAATGCAACTATTCATTGTGATGACACTGGGGCTGAGTTCTTTGAAGTTGAAGTTAATTGCCCAATGAATCAAGTCGTTCATCGCCCAGACTTAACATTTCCTCCAGGGTTATCCTGGAAGAATGTTCCTCATGCAAATGATGGTGGCCGATTGAGCGTAGCTCAGCTTAGCCACTTTGATTGTGGAGGAATGTCAATAAGTGTGTGTATGTCACATAAGGTGGGTGATGCGCGTAGTGCCTTTTCCTTTTTGAAGGATTGGGCTACAATAACCCGACAATATCCAAATGGTGAATTATCATGTCCTTCGTATTATGTTCAGGATTCATTAATGCCATCTCTACCCGATGGACCACTAAAGTTCCCCGTTGTGGTTGAGCCAAATGCAGAAGAAAGTGTCGAATTTGAAAAGAGGTTTTTTTTATCTGAATCCAATATAAGAGCTCTCAAAGCATTGATAGTTGATGATCCATCATCAATAGTGCAAAATCCAACAACTACTGAGGTTGTTAGTGCAATTATTTACAAATGTGCAGTAATTGTTGGTGCAAACATATCAAATGGTAATGATTCTTCATCTGGTTTTAGTATCCGATTTACGAAAAACAATTCCACCTTCAATAAAATCAACATCCACAATCGGGAACATTCTCACCGCCTTCTCTACTCCAATATATAACCTAGAAGACCTGAGGCTACCAAAATTAGTAGCCGATATAAGAAAGTCTAAACACGAGCTTTCCACCAGAAACAATTTCAAAGAAAACAAATGGGTATCAGAGATGCTAGAATACGCAAATAAAATAAATACAGAAACAGAGGATGACCAATCGTATCGTCAGAAGAGTTCATGTCACGATGTGTATCGATGTAGTAGTATATGTAACATTCCATTCCAAGATTTGGATTTTGGATGGGGGAGACCTACAAGAGCAAGCATAGCAAGTACACCATTTAGTAATATGATTTATTTGATGAATACACAAGATCAAAATAAAGGAATTGAAGTGTTTATTAACTTGAATCAACAACAAATGTCCATTTTTGAACAAGACAAGGAATTTCTACAATTTGCTAGTCCTGTTGGTGATAATCATGTTCATGAGGACAAAGAGAAATTATATTGCATGGAAGCTTTCTAAATTATTCTTACATGTGCATTCATGTAACAAGGAGTTTATAATTCAACAAGGTTATAAATTTGTAATTGCTATATATGTTTCTAAATTTCTATTTTATGGTATGTTGTTTATTTCGTCTAAAACCTCTTTAAATTTATCTACCATAAAAATATAAAAAATTTAAATGTCAAATTATTTTTAAGAAAAAAATTATTCTCATAAATTCTTGAACGTCTGAAGTTCATATAAGATATCTATAACTTTAGACTCATATTTAAAAGGGATAAGGGTCTGAAAAATACTCCAACTTTGGTCGGATTTACTGTTGCGATACTAAACTTTCATTAACCTATTACCTCCCTAGACTATTTAATACCGTATTTTAAACATATATATTTGCCCACGTGGATATAAAAAATAATGCAAAATTATAAATAGTAATGTGTCCACGTGGACACATATATACCTTTAAAGTACACTATTAAATAGTTTAGGGGGTAAAAAATACGGTTTTAAATAGTCTAGGGTGGTAATAGGTCCTTATGAAAGTTTAGTATCACAACAGCAAATCCGACCAAAGTTGGGATATTTTTCAGACCCTTATCCCTATTTAAAAATAGTAAACTTGTAAATTCTTATACATTGCAAATATAATTTAAATGATGGTTCACAAATCGACGACCTATCACCCTCTTTAATAAACTTTAAAGTGTCACAACAATGCCAAAAAATTAATTAAAAAATTACTGTTAAACTATATAATATGTTAGTCAAACCTTATATTAATTACATATCTTGTATCTTAAAAAATGTTTTTTCCTTTAAATAATTCATGAGATTCATTGTTTACTTTTTTTAAACTGCATACATATATTATATATCTATTGGCTATTTTCAATTTAGGTGGACATTATTTACTTTAGTTTTTTAAGAAGAAAAGCGAATAGATGACGTTTTGTCATGAAAACACGTTTGTTCATAAAAAATTTAAAAAAATTCAAAAACAACTAAACAAAAATTATTCTTACAAAAATTTAAAAAACAACTCTAATTTATTTCATGATCAAACACAATTTCAATTTTCGTTCGTAAAACAATTATTTTTTCAGTAACAAAATGAAACATAGTCAAACGCCTCCAAATAATGGGATCAAACTTCAAATTGAAGTTCACCCACAAAAGAAACACTATAAGACAAAATGATCCATAAACTTTTAGAAATATCTCCAAACACCCTCTTTATCTTTCCTTCTTTCTCCCTTTTTCCCCTTTCAAAATTTCCCCATCGTCTTCAAAATTCGATTCAGGCATCCAAATCTCCTTCAAATTCAGAGCAATTTTCAGTAAAAAAAATAATCAAAATCTGGGCTGCAATGAAACGCTATATGAACCCATTTTCCTGTATCTTATTGTGTTGCATCTTTTTGTTGAGTTCGATATACATCGCTAAAGCTGAAGTTATTACCCTCACAGGTGATACGTTTAATGATAAGGTAAATAAAACTTATTTTTGTTGCTTTTATGTTGCTCGGACTCTTCAAAAATACTGTCACACCCGTATCGGATTCTGCAAAAATATACTACTTTTGGAGGATTCGATACGCACTTGTGGACATTTTTGAAGAGTTTGAGCAATATAGATTTTAGTTTGTTGTTTGGTTAGATCAGAGATTAGTTTTACCTTGTTGAAGATTACTAGGGTTTATACGATCTGTAACATATATGTGTTTTGACTTTTTGAGTAATTGTTGCTCTATGCTGTTGTTGTGTCATTTGAGATGATATTTTGTTAGTAATTGAGTGATGATATCTAAATTTGATCTGGGTATTTGTTGATTTGGTGTGTGTGTCGGATCGTTCAAAAGTAATACATTTTTAATGGTTATGATACGGGTGCAACAACATTTTTGTTTGATGAGTTTTCAAGTAATTATTGTTCTTATTTTGCTGTTTTATTTTTTAAAAGATGATAAGTATTTCATTAGTTATTGAGTGATGATGTCTACTTTTGATCTGGGTGTCTGTTAATTTGATTGTTTGTTGATTTTTGTTTTGTTTGTCAAAGTAAGAAATGAGTGTTTCCATATTTGATATTGCTCAAACTCTTCAAAAAAATGTTGATGAGTGTGAGTATGTTCGTCCGGAAGTAGTACATTTTTTTACGGATACGATATGAGTGCAGCAACATATTTAAAGAGTTCGAGCAACATAGTCCATATTGGAACCTGTTACGTGTCATTTTGGGTTGGAATTGCATGAGATGCAAGTGTCCTTACCATTCTCCTAATTGTTTCACGGAATTATTTTTCTGTGTAATTTGATTAGGAGCTTGTAACAACATCTACGCCTCAATTCCAAGCTAGTTGGGGTCAGCTGTATTCACTTAATATAAATGGTTTGTCTGGTCTATAAAATTTCAATACTCTATAGTCTGTACTTAAGGATTATCTAACACGAGGAGTTCTCTAATATACTATAGTGGTTAATCTCCAATATACTAAGAGTAATTTAGTATGCACTTGAGCATATTGGACACAATTGTTTTAAAGTAGGGGATAAGTATTAAGGGCTTGTTTGATGATGTATAAGCATTATAATACCTGCATAAAAACCAACATTAAATTATGGCCAAATACACACACACACACACCCAACTTGTCTAATACTTTCATTTTGACACTTGAACTACAAGTAGCATCTTTTAAATACTTTATGTTGTAGAAAAATGTAACTTTTGAACACAAATTTGATAATTCTAAATTATGTGTGGTGCATGACTATCATGCACGTGGCATGGCAAACAAGGCCAATTAGAAAGACATGTCAACAAACCCCCCCTCCCCCCCAATTGTCTGATACCAACCACCTCGAAGCGCAAATAATATCCATTAAGCTGAACTCTAGCTGCTATAGATTGAGAAACCAAGCTGTTAAAAAAGTTGTTTAGTGCTTGTGAGTGAACCCCATATGGGTCTTAGAATTTCTAGTTAGCAAAACCACAAATTTTGTGAGTTCAGAGGATGATTCAATAATGGTGAATGAAGCTAGAAATAGAAAAAACCTAAGTTGCTCGGACTTTTCACTTTCAGTGTCACACCCGTGTCGGCATGACGTGGGTGTGGGATCCATACCCAATCTGGTCAACCAGTATTGGATACTTTGACCAAATTCGTGGGAGAAATTTTGGACAGATTCATGATATCTGTAATCAAAATAAAGGTGAAATTGAAGAAAATGAAATATCTTGTATATATAAATTTCTATTGCCACCCCCTTTCCTTGTATCTCCTTCCAAGATTCTCCTCTTGATCATTATTTTCTTCTCGAGTTTTCCACATAATATCTCATAATTTAGGTTTATAACTCTATTTTTAGCCGAATTTCTGCACCCGTATCCGCACATGATCCATATCCCCGAATCTTAAATTTAGGTCATAGAGGATCCGACCGCTAGATCCACACCTGTATCGGACACCCATACCCGAGTCCAAGCAAGTTAGAGAATAACCATGAGATGCTTTCTTGGAAGAATTTGACGTCTGCAAGTGGGGTTAGATTTCGTTTTTGATGGTTTCTAGAGCATTTAATTGGCTGAGAAGAAAGAAGAAAGTGAATTATTAGACATTTTGTAAAGAAAGGAAATTTCAGTAGGGGCTTTCTTCTGGTTATGGTGGTGGCAATTGTGGCGGGATGGAAGAGGAATGTGTTTGATGGTGGTGGGCAAGAGAGGAGGAAAATGAAAGAACAAAGATGTTCCACTTACACTAAAAATAAGTGTAATTGTGTCTAATGGGCACATTTTGGCTCGAATTCAAGTGTTCAGTAGATACTACTCCCCGTTCAGGTGTCAAAATGAAAGTGTCGAACAAGTTTTGGAGGTGCTTATGTACTTGGCCTTAAATTATACACCATTTGGTTGCTTATTTCTTAATAGTTATACCATATTTGGTTGCTTTATTCTATGTTGCCATAAATAATACATTTATAAGTTATGAATTTTGTTTTATGTGGATAAAACGTGGAATAAGAATACATGCATTGAAACAACTAAAAAGACAAAAAAGCTCTGCAGTTTTCTCTAGTATACCAAAAAAAAATTTGGTGGTGACTGATTTTATAACAAACATGATTGTCTAGACATTCAGAACTACTTCAATTACACATTGCATAGTTTAGAAGTTAAATAAACTTAACTTATTTTAAAAGTAAACACACACTTCAAATTTCACATTGCATATTTGAAACAAATCAAACATACAACAAAAATATTCTCCACATTACCCATATCCTTGCATTACCATCCTTACCTACTAATCTCTGCACTACCAACTTCTGCTTAATTTGTTTTTGAACCTAATGACCCCCCAAGTATTGAGACCAATTTAATAGATAAGCAGTGTACATGTTAAGTTAAATATTTAAGTTCTCTTTATGGTTTTTTATGATTTTGTTTTACCATCAAATAGTGGTCAACATTGAAACAAATAATACTTGCAGTATTGAGTTCGCTGGTGGTTTTTTTTTTTTTTTTTTTTTTGCAATTCCTTGAATGGCTCCTATACCACACTTATGTTGTTCTTTTGTGGGTCATTTAGATAAGCGAGAAGGACACTGCATGGTTTGTCAAATTTTGTGTTCCGTGGTGTAAGCACTGGTAAGTCTTTTAAAACTAGCCTGCTTTAGTATTTTGTCTTGTCCTTCAGATGAAATGGTGGGTTTGTCTGGGATATACAGGGATGACTAAATTATCGAATGTCAGCAGCATCTGCTTCCCAGTAAAATCATGAATTGGTAGTAATCTGTTATAACCATTTGGAAACTAGGCTGATATGTTTGTCTTCTGAAAAGTCAAGTGCAGCTTAGTGTTTATTGCTACATAAGTCTACTATCAGGATCTAAATGATAACCAATTAGGGCAAAAATCTTTGAAAGGGATGCTTGTAACATGGTTCAAAGCCATTGTTACTGTCTCCGTGTTAAGCAGCATCGGACATTCTACTGTTAGCAATGCACATGAAGAATCCTCTTGGTCAAATGCAGGAAAGTCTAAAGCACGTTTTATATACATGCTAATTACCATTATTAGCATATTGCACACTTTCTTTTGTCTAGACTACAATGTAGCAGAAGATGATCCACATCCTCCCCCGCTTCCTTGTATAGGTAACACCAACTAATGCAAACAACTTTATGTATTCTAAGGTTTAGGTTTTCCATCATCAAAATCACCCCTCCTAGTAGCTGACTATGTGAAAGAAACACCTTCCTCTGCACCATAGTGATCCAAATCGAGTTCCAATGGAGAACAATCCTCCTCCCCAATTAAAAGCTTGTATAAGAGGCCAGAGAAAACTTTGTTATTATTATTGTTTTTTGATAGGTAAGGTAGAAAACTTTGTTATTCCCCAACTCCCAACTCAAAGCCTCAAGTCTACCAGCTGGCTCACCATGCTTATGAAGTAAAGCAAGCAATCTTTAAAACTCATTCTTCTCCCAATCTTGGAAATCCTCCTGTAACTCAAGTCTCAAAACGTCCTTCCCCCCTAGACTTCCCCTGATTTGCTAGACAGATAAGTCCCTTTGGCATGAAACTCTATGCATACATGGAAACTCATCCTCTAACACAAGTTCAATGCCAACGTCATGGTTTCTAGTGGCAATACATCATGAACCCATGTATGTATCATCTGCTAATACACAGCCAAAAGTCCCCCACACCACTTATGGCTCCAAAAATTTACTCTTCTCCCATCTCCAACTCTAAAAGAAATGTTACCATAAAAATCTTGCCACCCCTTCATAATATTCCTCCACACTCCTCACTTAAACGGCATAGTGACATCATTAGTTCTCCACATATGAGTTCTATATCCCACTTGATCGATGAAGGCTTTTCTTGAGCTTCCAAATTTAAATTCCTAAAGGTACCTTGATGCTCTGAACAACTTGTAGTGCATGAATGTGGCTTGCCTCTTCACTGCAAGTTCAGGCATATTGCCAATAAGTAGATAAAGGCGTTATATCATCAAGTGAGTGATATAATTAATGGAAAGGATGATGACTGTTTTACCTCTGATTTTTATTCATATACATCAGAATTTTAGACATTGATATGTTCATTGCTGTATTTTCCTCGTAAGGGTCTTCTGTTTTGCTAATTCTGAAACCTTTTTTCAGCAAGAACCTGGGAACACTTTGGGATGATTTGGGGAAAACAATGGAAGGGGAGGATGAGATAGAGGTGGGACAAGTTGATTGTGGTACAGATAAACCAGTGTGTAACAAAGTTGATATTCATTCATACCCCACATTCAAACTCTTCTACAATGGAGAAGAAGTCGCAAAGTACCAAGGTAGAAGGTTTTTCTTTGAAATTTATCTTAACTATCTCATAGTCGATTTAAAATATCCTTTTTCTTGTTTCAAATTACAAAGATAGTATTTTGGATTTGTTTTTCTACTCAACCAATCTGTATCTGCTTTTCTGAATTGTCTTGTGATTATATCAGTTTGTGTAGAAGATAATATTGAAGTTAGTGCAACAATATAAGTGTTACATATCATGCTTTAAATTTATTTTTGTTTTTTTAAGTAAAGTGAATTCTTGAACAAGATAATAGTGTAAGCCTGTGTCAAACATATTTGGGACATCTAAAACTGGAAAGTTTATCACATGAATTTGGTGGAGGCAGGTTTTAACCATTTCTTGCTGAGTGCAAGGGGCATTTAGTTATCAAACATATTTGGACATCTAGTAATGGAGCTTGTGGGCCATGTCAACTTACTCTTAGGACGGCTGTGATGAGATTATGAAGCTGAATGTTTTGCTGTAAGGGTCAGCCACATGAAGAATACTAAAAAAAAGTGGATAAGTAGCTGAAATGGTTGGTTATATAGCAGCCACATTTAGTGATTTATGTGGTTAGAGTGATGTTTTTTAAAGGAAAGTTGATCAGATTTTTGTAGATAATAATTGATGTGTGGTCTAAGTCTGTAATTTCATAGCGTTTTACTCTTGCATTTCTTTCAAACTGTTCTGAATACCAATTTTCTTAAGCCGAGGGTCTATCATAAGCAACCTCTCTACCCCACAAAGGTAGGGGTAAGGTCTGCTCACACCCCATCTGCCCACCTTCCCCAGGCCCCACTTGTGGGACTTTGCTGAGTATATTGTTGTCTAAGTCCGTAATTGAACATTTTATGATGGCTGTTTAGCTTCTATTCATGCTAAAATTCATGGTACCATATGCTGTCTTTCACTATTTGTATGTGTGTTAGCCCGTGGCTCGCCATTTATGTGCTTGTGTCACCAAGTTGTGAAAACTTATAGGACGTAACAAGCTGGTCTCACCACTGCAGTGCCCATTAACTTTTATTTGACTGGGAATCCTGTATTTTACATCTGTTGCTGTAGGACCAAGGGATATTGAATCGCTGAAAGTTTTTGCACTAGAAGAAGCAGAGAAAGCAGCAACAAAAGCTGAAGCAGATGATGATAAAGAGTTATAACTTACTGTCAGGTAAACTCTAAATGCCTCCGAGTTTTGCATTTCGATCTAAAATCATTTCACACAGTTGAAAACCACTTCATTCATCCCTTTTTGGTCCAAATCCCCAAGTGTCCACTGAAATGCGGTTTGACAATGACAGGTAACAGGTACATTTTTGCTATGTTTCAGGGGAGGGAGTGTTTCCTAAGCAAAATACTGAGAAGATTAGAAGAACGGATGAAGACTACCACCGTCTTCTTTTACAGTGACACTGTACTGGTGATGGCTTCTTTTCTCCTAGTTTTCTTGTCTAAGATTTTGTTGAATCCGAGTAGGCTGACATTGGCAAACGATGAAGGAGTTGATTTCTTAAATGATTAATGTAAAACTCCGAAGATACTCGAAAGGTGAAGAGGATAACACACAGATGTTAGATATGAAATTTGTTACTACTATTCTTTTTGACTAAGAGTAAAGATGTCATATTTAGCTAATGCAGCTGTAATGACAAGACCAAAAAATATAATGCTTGAAAATATTTTGAAATTTCATGGGTCCCTGATCGTTATGCTTTTTCAAAAGGAATTTCGCTAGCTTAGGATCGTTATAATTATGATCGTTGTTCATCGAATTTCCTGTTGCTAAATCACCAACTTCTTTGACCTTCCGGCATGGGGGGCAGGAGTTGGCTTCCTTGCTGTTGTTAAAAAACTATGTTTACCATATTAGCATTTTGGAATTAAATTGTATTTTAAATTCCACAACGTTTGCAAATACTGTTTTTCAGTTCATGTAATTGAAAAATAGATGTATTGTTATAGGCTTTGAATATACATAGGTGAAACTTCAGAATATTATCATGAAATTTCACTTGTAAAATTAAACTATAGCGATACTACTTATTTTTCAAAGACGAGATCGAAAAGTGATCAATGAATGTTATTCCGGATGAATGTGGGAGCAAACCGTGCATTCTTGTCTCGTATGAGTAGACATGAATAACATATTGTTTTAAAAAATACCCACAATATTACTAGGAAATAGCATTAAAAAATCAAAATGTTTGGTTTTGGTTGCGTAACGTTTAGGTTTTGATTAATAAACATTAACAATGTCAATATAGCACGAAAAACACATCGAAAGAACAGTTCAATGCACAAAACATCCCACGCTATATTTGTACGATTATACGATAACTAAATTTCAGTATGTATACTTTAGAATGTTTCTTCTATTATTTGCGGTGTCTTCATTGTTTTTGTTTTTTTCCATTTAAATCAACTTTGTTATGTGTTACTTGAACTGAGGATCTTTTAAAAGCAGTATTTCTATCTTCACGAAGTAGGAGTAAGGTTTGCATACATTCTATCTTCTTCACACGCCCACTCATAAAATTTTACTAGATATATTGTTGTTGTTATATTATACTTTTATAATACTATAATAAATTTTTTTAAAAAAAAAAACTAACTTATAAGATTATATTGAATTTGTTGTTATTGTATTAAAATAATTTTCAAAAGAAGTGTTGGAATATGTCAACATCATAATGGCATGAAAATGAGAAATGTGGACATAGAATATAATGCTAAGACTTGGAGGCCAAGTAAATTTGATCAAATGTGTTCAAGACATGACGTTAAGATATTTGAGTTGTTTTTTTTTTATATATATAATTTATTTTATTTTAAAAAAAAAAAAACTTAAACCGACTTAAGTTCACTCATCCTCCTCTATATATATAGAACCAATAACCTTTTGTAAACTTAAATTCTCCCTCATTTTTCAACTTATTATATGTGCTGTGCTTCTCAAGGTTAGATATATGATATTCCATCACTCATTTTTGCTTAGTCTATGTATATTTCATGCAAATTTGTTCCACGATCCATCGGTTTTTAATAAAATTGATACTAGCTAGTGTAATTTGATGCAAATTTGGTTGATGTTTGCTGAGTTTCTATATATTTAATATGCCCTCTCATCCATCCCATTTTATGTGACACCTTTCTCTTTTCTCGTCTGTCTCAAAAAAGAAAAATCACTTTATTATGAGAAACAATTTAACTTTAAAACTTTGTTTTTAGTCGTAATGAATTGATTTATAGCTACACAAATATTTAAGGATATGTTTTGAACCACAAATATCGTTCTCTTAAATATTGTGTCAGGTCAAACTGTACCACGTAAAATGAGATGGAGGGAGTACTAGTTTTGATTAGTTTGCTTGCAAATTTGTTCCATGATTGATGAGTAATTTGATCCATGTTCATGATTGCTCTGTTTCTATATATTTGATAGTAGCTTTGATTAATTTAATTCAAGATTTGTGACTATAAGTTCATTAGTTTTGTTCATCTTAAATGTCTCATGGTTCCTGGAGAAGATCATTTGCCTTGTAGATTGTTCGGTCTGTGTGTATTGTTTGATCATCGTTGGATTATTTGTTTCGTCGATTGGCTACCAAAACTCGATTTTGATGTATTCGAGTTTTCAGAATTTCTCTATGTCTGTTTTGATTGAATTGTCAGATTGTTATAGACATAGAACACACAACTTTTAGATGTTTTTTACATATGTTGTACTTGTTTTCTTGTTGGTTTGGTATGTTAACTGGGAAGAGTTTTTGTTTCAATTGTTGACAGACTTTTAGTTGATCAACATGGGTAAAGAGAAGGTTCACATCAACATTGTGGTTATTGGCCATGTTGACTCTGGAAAATCTACCACCACTGGTCACTTGATCTACAAGCTAGGTGGTATCGACAAACGAGTCATCGAGAGGTTTGAGAAAGAAGCTGCTGAGATGAACAAGAGGTCATTCAAGTATGCCTGGGTTCTTGACAAGCTTAAGGCTGAACGTGAACGCGGTATCACTATTGATATTGCCTTGTGGAAGTTTGAGACTACCAAGTACTACTGTACTGTTATTGATGCTCCTGGTCATAGGGATTTCATCAAGAACATGATTACTGGTACCTCTCAAGCTGACTGTGCTGTCCTGATTATCGACTCCACGACTGGTGGTTTTGAAGCTGGTATCTCTAAGGATGGACAGACTCGTGAACATGCGTTGCTTGCTTTCACACTTGGTGTTAGGCAAATGATTTGCTGCTGCAACAAGGTTTGCTCTTTCTTCAAGTGTAACTCATTTCCCAACCAACGTGGGACTTTAACCCACTCTAACACCCCCTTAACGCCCAGATATGGACCTGACTCTAATACCATGTAAAGATATAGCATCAGGACCTAACTCAACCCCAAAAGCTAACTCATGAGGGGAGGATTGTCCAAGTCCATTCCCCAATGATTGGGACTTTAACCTACTCAAACAGATGTTAACTGAAGAATGATGTTTCATGTTTTGCTAATATGTTTTTATTCCTTGTGTAGATGGATGCTACCACACCTAAGTACTCCAAGGCTAGGTACGATGAAATTGTGAAGGAAGTGTCTTCTTACCTTAAGAAGGTTGGTTACAACCCTGACAAGATCCCATTTGTGCCCATTTCTGGTTTCGAAGGAGATAATATGATTGAGAGATCAACTAACCTAGACTGGTACAAGGGTCCAACACTTCTTGAGGCTCTTGACCAGCTTAATGAACCTAAGAGGCCCTCGGACAAACCCCTTCGTCTTCCACTTCAGGATGTCTATAAGATTGGTGGTATTGGGACTGTCCCTGTAGGTCGTGTTGAAACTGGTGTCATCAAGCCTGGTATGGTTGTGACTTTTGGTCCTACTGGTCTGACTACTGAAGTTAAGTCTGTTGAGATGCATCATGAAGCTCTTCAGGAGGCACTTCCTGGTGACAATGTTGGTTTCAACGTCAAGAATGTTGCGGTTAAGGATCTTAAGCGTGGATTTGTTGCTTCCAACTCCAAGGATGACCCAGCTAAGGGGGCTGCTAGCTTCACCGCTCAGGTCATCATCATGAACCATCCAGGACAGATTGGAAATGGATATGCTCCAGTGCTGGACTGTCACACCTCCCATATTGCTGTCAAGTTTGCTGAGATCTTGACTAAGATTGACAGGCGTTCTGGTAAGGAACTCGAGAAGGAGCCTAAGTTCTTGAAGAACGGTGATGCTGGTATGGTTAAGATGATTCCCACCAAGCCCATGGTTGTTGAGACCTTCTCCGAGTACCCACCATTGGGGCGTTTTGCTGTGAGGGACATGCGTCAAACTGTTGCTGTTGGTGTTATCAAGAGTGTTGACAAGAAGGACCCATCTGGAGCCAAGGTCACCAAGGCTGCTCAGAAGAAAAAATGAATGGTGCAGTTCAACTCTGGAGTACCCAGAGATATCGATATCTACTATAATAAAGTGTGTTACGAAAACTTGCTATGCTTTACTCTTCCTGTTCATGTTCAGTCTTTTATGTTGTTGGGTTCTTGTTTTCTGCCTTGTATGTCAGGTATCCTTTCCCAGAACTGGGTGCTTGACAGACGGTGGCAAAATACATAGTTCCAGTCGTTTGGTTTTTCTTTAGAGGTGTCTTGGTCCATCCAAGACGTCTCTAAAGATATGTTTATTTGTGTTTCTTATAATACGTAAATCGTACTTTTCTGTCTTTGTGCTGATTATCTTCTCTTGCATTATCCATCCTGTCTTTTCCCTTGAAGTCTCTAGAGTTATGCGCAACTCAACTATTTCATTGAATACTTGCTACCCTGTTATTATTAAAATACTCCGCTCACTAAAGCTTAGACAAATGAGAAAAGATTACCTACCATTATGATCATCCACTAATAATCAAGGTCACTTAGAACACAACATCTCTGTGATAAATATTTAGAAGCTGACTTAGACAAATTGAGGTTTCCCATTGTATCAGGCAACAACCTAATAGGTAGCTGCAAATACACAATTTTTGGGTTCTGGGGACAGCCGTCAGGTGCATGTCGTATACTCCAAAAGTAGTGCATATTTAGAGAGTCTACATGGGTGCAGCAACATTTTGGACAGTCCAAACAACATAGATATACTCCCACTATCCCACATTGTATAAAAGCTATGAACCAAGAAACTGAACCAAAAGTTGCTAGGAGTATAGCATTTATCTTGAATTCCTTGTATTTTGGTTACAGAGAAATAGTTTGGGTACAAAGAGGTTTTTCCTGACATAAAACTTGAGCAAAACAAAAACAAGAACTCTGTATGCAACAGCCATAAGAAACAATACTAACAAATTTTTCCACTTAGAGTTGCTATCAGCAGATATGTCATATACATTTTGCAAAGCCTGATTACCAGATATGGTCCTCACCTGACCAACTGCAAAAGAGGTCTCGATGTACTCGTTCTCCAAGAGCCCCTGAAATAAAGACGCGATTTTAAGATATTTATAAGAGATGACCACCTAGTGATCAAGTACATGCATTTGAAAGAATTTATAGCCAATTGTTTGACCATTTTTGAACTTGCCTGGATAGAGTAAGTATGAAAAGCTATATAAGAAATGGGGTACATCCATACTGGTCCTGGCAAAGAACTTCGGATTCTTAAAAAGCCAGCAGAAAGCATCATTATCACCTGAAATGTAG